GGGGACCCGGATGTAAGGGGGATTCTGATGGGGACCCGGATGTAAGGGGGATTCTGATGGGGACGCGGATGTAAGGGGGATTCTGATGGGGACCCGGATGTAAGGGGGATTCTGATGGGGACGCGGATGTAAGGGGGATTCTGATGGGGACCCAGATGTAAGGGGACTCTGATGGGGACCGGATGTAAGGGGGATTCTGATGGGGACCCGGATGTAAGGGGGATTCTGATGGGGACGCGGATGTAAGGGGATTCTGATGGGGACCGGATGTAAGGGGGATTCTGATGGGGACCGGATGTAAGGGGGATTCTGATGGGGACCCGGATGTAAAGGGGGATTCTGATGGGAACGCGGATGTAAGGGGGATTCTGATGGGGACCCAGATGTAATCTGATGGGGACTCGGATATAAGGGGGATTCTGATGGGGACCCGGATGTAAAGGGGGATTCTGATGGGGACGCGGATGTAAGGGGGATTCTGATGGGGACCCGGATGTAAGGGGGATTCTGATGGGGACCCAGATGTAAGGGGGATTCTGATGGGGACGCGGATGTAAGGGGGATTCTGATGGGGATGCGGATGTAAGGGGGATTCTGATGGGGACGCGGATGTAAGGGGGATTCTGATGGGGACCCGGATGTAAGGGGGATTCTGATGGGGACCCGGATGTAAGGGGGATTCTGATGGGGACCGGATGTAAGGGGGATTCTGATGGGGACCCGGATGTAAGGGGGATTCTGATGGGGACCCGGATGTAAGGGGATTCTGATGGGGACGCGGATGTAAGGGGGATTCTGATGGGGACGCGGATGTAAGGGGGATTCTGATGGGGACCCGGATGTAAGGGGGATTCTGATGGGGACCGGATGTAAGGGGGATTCTGATGGGGACCCGGATGTAAGGGGGATTCTGATGGGGACGCGGATGTAAGGGGGATTCTGATGGGGACGCGGATGTAAGGGGGATTCTGATGGGGACCCGGATGTAAGGGGGACTCTGATGGGGACTCGGATGTAAGGGGGACTCTGATGGGGACGCGGATGTAAGGGGGACTCTGATGGGGACGCGGATGTAAGGGGGATTCTGATGGGGACCCGGATGTAAGGGGGATTCTGATGGATACCCGGATGTAAGGGGGATTCTGATGGAGACCCGGATGTAAGGGGGATTCTGATAGGGACCTGGATGTAAGGGGGATTCTGATAGGGACCTGGATGTAAGGAGGACATACCTCCCAACTTTGTGAGATGGGAACGAGGGACACCTATTATCAAAAGTATGTAAGTATTGGACACACACCCTGCCACGCCCCTTTAAAGAAGAATTACACAAAAAATGATTGGTTGAACCCAAAAGTGCTTTACTTTTACCGCTATTATTTCTTTATATTGGCTTTTGACATTTACAAATGCCTGGATGACCTGGATGTAAGGGGACTTTAATAGGGACCTGGATGTAAGGGGACTCTAATAGGGACCTGGATGTAAGGGGACTCTGCTGGGGACCTGGATGTAAGGGGTCTCAAATAGGGACCTGGATGTAAGGGGACTCTGATGGGGACCTGGATGTAAGGAGACTCTGATGGGGACCTGGATGTAAGGGGAATCTGCTGGGGACCTGGATCTAAGGAGACTCTAATGGGGACCTGGATGTAAGGGGACTCTAATGGGGACCTGGATGTAAGGAGACTCTGATGGGGACCTGGATGTAAGGGGAATCTGCTGGGGACCTGGATCTAAGGAGACTCTAATGGGGACCTGGATGTAAGGGGACTCTAATGGGGACCTGGAATTTAGGAGACTCTGATGGGGACCTGGATGTAAGGGGACTCTGATGGGACCTGGATGTAAGGGGACTCTGATGGGGACCTGGATGTAAGGGGACTCTAATAGGGACCTGGATGTAAGGTAACTCTAATAGGGATCTGGATGTAAGGGGACTCTAATAGGGACTTGGATGTAAGGGGACTCTAATAGGGACCTGGATGTAAGGGGACTCTGCTGGGGACCTGGATGTAAGGGGACTCTAATAGGGACCTGGATGTAAGGGGACTCTAATAGGGACCTGGATGTAAGGGGACTCTGCTGGGGACCTGGATGTGTACTCTGATGGGGACTCTGATGATGGGAACCTGGATGTAAGGGGACTCTGATGGGGACCTGGATGTAAGGGGACTATGATGGGGACCTGAATTTAAAAGGACTCTAATGGGGACCTGGATGTAAGGGAACTCTAATGGGGACCTGAATGTGAAAGGACTCTAATAGGGACCTGGATGTAAGGGGACTCTGATTGGGACCTGGATGGAAAATGTACAGGAACGCATGCGCTGTCGCACTTGAATGGAGCCTTAAAGTTGAACTAAACCTACAAGCCGCCAGCTTTTTATGTCAGCTGCCATGCTTGTGGAATAAATGACTCCGGTGCACATGCTCAGTTGGGTGTGTATTGCTAGAGAGTTATTTTTTTTTTCCCTTGGGAGGGTGCATGTGATCAACACAGGACCAATCAGCACTGTCCAGACATAAGGTCAGGGGTTTTGCAGCCTCAAAGGACAATCAGGGGAGAATGAAAACTCCTACAAGATTAACTAGTGCTCTGCTGGACACTGATAGAAGTCACAAGACTGCTTTATACTGCTGATAAGAAAAGGTATGTAGCAGTTTATATTTACTAAAATAATTGTGTTTCTATGTTCTGTGTACTGTGGGAGACCAGATATAGTGAATGCAGGGTCCTGGGGGACCAGATATAGTGAATGCAGGGTCCTGGGAGACCAGATATAGTGAATGCAGGGTCCTGGGAGACCAGATATAGTGAATGCAGGGTCCTGGGAGACCAGATATATAGTGAATGCAGGGTCTGGGGAGACCGGATATAGTGAATGCAGGGGCCGGGGAGGGAGACCAGATATAGTGAATGCAGGGTCCAGGGAGAGCGGATATAGTGAATGCGGGGTCCGGGGAGAGCAGATATAGTGAATGCAGGGTCCTGGGAGCCCAGATATAGTGAATGCAGGGTCCTGGGAGCCCAGATATAGTGAATGCAGGGGCCGGGGAGACCAGATATAGTGAATGCAGGATCCAGGGAGACCAGATATAGTGAATGCAGGGTCCGGGGAGAGCGGATATAGTGAATGCGGGGTCCATGGGGAGACCGGATATAGTGAATGCAGGGTCCGGGGAGACTGTATATAGTGAATGCAGGGTCCGGGGTGACCGGATATAGTGAATGCAGGGTCCGGGGAGACCGGATATAGTGAATGCAGGGTTCGGGGGGACCAGGTATAGTGAATGCAGGGTCTGGGGAGATCAGATATAGTGAATGCGGGGTCCGGGGAGACCAGATATAGTGAATGCGGGGTCTGGGGAGATCAGATATAGTGAATGCGGGGTCCGGGGAGACCACATATAGTGAATTCGGGGTCTGGGGGAGACCGGATATAGTGAATGCAGGGTCCGGGGAGAGTGGATATAGTGAATGCAGGGTCCTGGGAGCCCAGATATAGTGAATGCAGGGGCCGGGGAGACCAGATATAGTGAATGCAGGGTCCAGGGAGAGCAGATATAGTGAATGCAGGGTCCGGGGAGACCAGATATAGTGAATGCAGGGGCCGGGGAGACCAGATATAGTGAATGCAGGGTCCAGGGGAGAGCAAATATAGTGAATGCATATAGTGAATGCAGGGTCCAGGGGGAGCGGATATAGTGAATGCCGGGTCTGGGGAGACCGGATATAGTGAATGCAGGGGCCGGGGAGACCAGATATAGTGAATGCAGGGTCCGGGGAGACCAGATATAGTGAATGCAGGATCCAGGGAGACCAGATATAGTGAATGCAGAGTCCGGGGAGAGCAGATATAGTGAATGCGGGGTCCAGGGAGACCGGATATAGTGAATGCAGGGTCCGGGGAGACTGTATATAGTGAATGCAGGGTCCGGGGGGTGACCGGATATAGTGAATGCAGGGTCCGGGGGACCGGATATAGTGAATGCAGGGTTCGGGGAGACCGGATATAGTGAATGCAGGGTCTGGGGAGATCGGATATAGTGAATGCAGGGTCCGGGGAGACCAGATATAGTGAATGCGGGGTCTGGGGAGATCAGATATAGTGAATGCAGGGTCCCGGGGAGACCGGATATAGTAAATGCAGGGTCCTGGGAGCCCGGATATAGTGAATGCAGGGGCCGGGGAGCCCAGATATAGTGAATTCGGGGTCTGGGGAGACCGGATATAGTGAATGCAGGGTCCGGGGAGAGCGGGTATAGTGAATGCAGCGGGGGTCCTGGGGACCCGGATATAGTGAATGCAGGGGGCCGGGGAGCCCAGATATAGTGAATGCAGGGTCCGGGGGACCAGATATAGTGAATGCAGGGTCCAGGGAGAGCAGATATAGTGAATGCAGGGTCGTGGGGAGAGCGGATATAGTGAATGCAGGGTCCGGGGAGACCAGATATAGTGAATGCAGGGTCCGGAGAGCAGATATAGTGAATGCAGGGGCCTGGGAGAGCAGATATAGTGAATGCAGGGTCCTGGGAGCCCAGATATAGTGAATGCAGGGGCCGGGGAGACCGGATATAGTGAATGCAGGGTCCAGGGAGACCGGATATAGTGAATGCAGGGTCTGGGGAGAGCAGATATAGTGAATGCGGGGTCCGGGGGGAGACCAGATATAGTGAATGCAGGGTCCGGGGGAGACCAGATATAGTGAATGCAGGGTCTGGGGAGATCAGATATAGTGAATGAATGCGGGGTCCGGGGAGACCGGATATAGTGAATGCAGGGTCTGGGGAGACCGGATATAGTGAATGCAGGGTCTGGGGGATCAGATATAGTGAATGTGGGTCTGGGGAGACAGGAGATAGTGAATGCAGGGTCCGGGGGAGACCAGATATAGTGAATGCAGGGTCTGGGGAGATCAGATATAGTGAATGCGGGGTCCGGGGAGACCAGATATAGTGAATTCGGGGTCTGGGGAGACCGGATATAGTGAATGCAGGGTCCGGGGAGACCGGATATAGTGAATGCAGGGTCCGGGGAGAGCAGATATAGTGAATGCGGGGTCCGGGGAGAGAGCAGATATAGTGAATGCAGGGTCTGGGGAGACCGGATATAGTGAATGAATGGAGTCCGGGGAGAGCAGATATAGTGAATGCAGGGTCCAAGGACCGGGAGAGCAAATAGTGAATGCAGGGTCCGGGGAGAGACCGGATATAGTGAATGCAGGGTTCGGGGAGACCGGATATAGTGAAATGCAGGGTCTGGGGAGATCGGATATAGTGAATGCCAGGGTCCGGGGAGACCAGATATAGTGAATGCGGGGTCTGGGGAGAATCAGATATAGTGAATGCAGGGGGTCCGGGAGAGACCGGATATAGTATTGCAATGCAGGGGTCCCGGGGAGCAGGGTCCGGATCGGATATAGTGAATGCAGGGGCATATCCGGGGAGCCCAGATATAGTGAATTCGGGGTCTGGGGAGACCGGATATAGTGAATGCAGGGTCCGGGGAGAGCAGGATATAGTGAATGCAGGGTCCTGGGAGCCCGGATATAGTGAATGCAGGGGCCGGGGAGCCCAGATATAGTGAATGCAGGGTCCGGGGAGACCAGATATAGTGAATGCAGGGTCCAGGGAGAGAGCAGATATAGTGAATGCAGGGTCCGGGGGAGACCAGATATAGTGAATGCAGGGTCCAGGGAGAGCAGATATAGTGAATGCAGGGGCAGGGAGAGCAGATATAGTGAATGCAGGGGTCCTGGGAGCCCCAGATATAGTGAATGCAGGGGCCGGGGGAGACCGGATATAGTGAATGCAGGGTCCGGGGAGACCGGATATAGTGAATGCAGGGTCCGGGGGAGATCAGATATAGTGAATGCGGGGTCCGGGGAGACCAGATATAGTGAATTCGGGGTCTGGGGAGACCGGATATAGTGAATGCAGGGTCCGGGGAGAGCGGATATAGTGAATGCAGGGTCCTGGGAGGCCCGGATATAGTGAATGCAGGGGCCGGGGAGCCCAGATATAGTGAATGCAGGGTCCGGGGAGACCAGATATAGTGAATGCAGGGTCCGGGGAGAGCAGATATAGTGAATGCCCATAGGTCCGGGGAGAGACAGATATAGTGAATGCAGGGTCCGGGAGAGCAGATATAGTGAATGCAGGGGCAGGGAGAGCAGATATAGTGAATGCAGGGTCCTGGGAGCCCAGATATAGTGAATGCACGGGGGTCCGGGGAGACCGGATATAGTGAATGCAGGGTGTCCGGGGAGAGACCGGATATAGTGAATGCAGGGTCCAGGGGAGATCAGATATAGTGATGCAGGGGGTCCGGGGAGACCAGATATAGTGAATGCGGGGTCCGGGGAGACCAGATATAGTGAATGCAGGGTCTGGGGAGATCAGATATAGTGAATGCAGGGGTCCGGGGAGACCGGATATAGTGAATGCAGGGTCGGGGAGACCGGATATAGTGAATGCAGGGTCTGGGGAGATCAGATATAGTGAATGCGGGGTCCGGGGGGAGACCAGATATAGTGAATGCAGGGTCCGGGGAGACCAGATATAGTGAATGCAGGGTCTTGGGAGATCCAGATATAGTGAATGCGGGGTCCGGGGAGACCAGATATAGTGAATTGTCTGGGAGACCGGGGTCTGGTCCGGGAGACCGGATATAGTGAATGCAGGGTCCGGGGAGACCTGGGGGAGCCCAGATATAGTGAATGCAGGGGTCCAGGGAGAGCAGATATAGTGAATGCGGGGTCGGGGAGAGCAGAGATTATAGTGAATGCAGGGTCTGGGGGGGAGACCGGATATAGTGAATGCAGGGTCCGGGAGAGCAGATATAGTGAATGCAGGGGCCGGGGAGAGCGGATATAGTGAATGCAGGGTCCTGGGGTCCGGGGAGGACCGGATATAGTGAATGCAGGGTCCGGGGAGACCAGATATAGTGAATGCAGGGTCCGGGGAGACCAGATATAGTGAATGCAGGGTCCGGGGAGAGCAGATATAGTGAATGCAGGGTCCGGGGAGAGCAGATATAGTGAATGCAGGGGCCAGGGAGACCAGATATAGTGAATGCAGGGTCCAGGCGGAGAGCACGATATAGTGAATGCAGGGTCGGGGATGGGGAGAGCGGATATAGTGAATGCAGGGGTCCAGGGGGGAGCGGATTATAGTGAATGCCGGGTCTGGGGGAGACCGGATATAGTGAATGCAGGGTCCGGGGGAGAGCAGATATAGTGAATGCAGGGTCCTGGGAGCCCAGATATAGTGAATGCAGGGGCCGGGGAGACCATATAGTGAATGCAGGATCCAGGGGGGGATATATGAGACCAGATATAGTGAATGCAGGGTCCCGGGGAGAGCAGATATAGTGAATGCAGGGTCCGGGGAGACCCGGATATAGTGAATGCAGGGTCCGGATAAGTGATGCAGACCAGACCGGATATAGTGAATGCAGGGTCCGGGGAAACCGGATATAGTGAATGCAGGTCTGGGGAGATCAGATATAGTGAATGCGGGGTCCGCAAGGGGGAGACCAGATATAGTGAATGCAGGGTCCGGGGGGGAGACCAGATATAGTGAATGCAGGGTCTGGGGAGATCAGATATAGTGAATGCGGGGTCCGGGGAGACCAGGATAGATATAGTGAATTCGGGGTCTGGGGAGACCGGATATATAGTGAATGCAGGGTCCGGGGAGACCGGATATAGTGAATGCAGGGTCCGGGGGGGAGAGCAGATATAGTGAATGCGGGGTCCGGGGAGAGCAGATATAGTGAATGCAGGGTCTGGGGAGAGACCGGATATAGTGAATGCAGGGTCCGGGGAGAGCAGATATAGTGAATGCAGGGTCCGGGGAGAGCAGATATAGTGAATGCAGGGTCCGGGGGGGGGGGAGAGCGGATATAGTGAATGCAGGGTCCGGGGAGACTGGATATAGTGAATGCAGGGTCCGGGGAGACCGGATATAGTGAATGCAGGGTCCGGGGAGACCGGATATAGTGAATGCAGGGTCCAAATGCACTGGAATGCGCCAGAAACATGTCAAAAACACGCATGTAAAAACACATCTGGACTGCTTTCTATAGTGTGATCAGGGCGGACTGACAACTCATGGGGCCCCCAGGCAATAAGGGATCATGGGGCCCCTGTGTCCTTGCCCAAACTCAAAAAAGCCTATGAAAAAGGTACCAGGGGCATCTCATGGGACCCCTTACTGACCCCGGGCCCTCGGGCAGTGCCTGAGTTTCCAAATGGTCAGTCCGCCCCTGATGTGAACCGGCCCTGACTGCAGGCTGTTGAGCTGACCGATTGCACACAGTTGAGGTGCGTTTGCCGCTCTTCGCCCTCCACTAGGAAACATGCGTACAATAGACAGCCGCCACTCCTGCGCCGTTCCCACGCAGAGCGTTACATAATGAAGGCGAGTTGCGGCGATTGCGGCGATGGCGCACCAGATTGGCGTCACATTAGCAGCTTCCCGTCCAGCTGTGTTTGTTTCAATAAAAGTGTCATTTTTATTCCTCCTACAGCGACATCGCTGCCAGCCAATGACATCCAATAACAAAACGGCGATTTGGAAGCTGGTCGCGGGGACTTGGCGGTCTGGAAGATTTCCCCTTTAACAGAAGGGGGGGGGGGGGACCACACGCAGGGGGTTATTTTGTATCATGTCTGATTTGTTGCCACGAATCGGTCCTTCCCAGGCCGATTCAGCTGCACTTTCAAAAGCTCCACTTGAAAAACAAAAGAGAAGTGTGGGATCGCCATCCCGCCAAGTACGGTGTAAGGAGAGCCGCGAATCAAAGGGATGGAAAGAGCCGCACTTGGCAGAGGGCAGGGGGATGAATCGGGGGTGTCGTGGGGGGGTCGGGGGGGAGGGGTCAGGCCCCCATTCAGCTTCTAAAAACTGAAGCCATTGTTCTTGGAGGGGGAGCATCTCAGTTCAAGACCTCAGTTTTGGCTACAAGAAACTGTGCAAGTACATTTGTTGTGACCCACAAGGATGGGGGGCGGTAAAACCCAGTGGTTGAGCCATGCTTTTACTGCCCCCTGGGGGGGTGTACACATAGCATGGCCGTGGCTGAAACGATACCCACTTTCTGTGCATTACTGATCTGTGTTCGGATCGCTCTTCAGAGAGCATTTGACAGGCGGTGAGGTGTCTCATTGCCTCCTCACCACCCGCTTTAACCCCTGAACCCCTGCACTGCTGTGCTGCAACCACACGATCGCAGGGGGGGGCTGGCAGAACGTTTCCGTGCATGAAAAGCGTGGTGACCGCAGGAAGAACGATAACCCCGCCTCCTTTCCATTGGTCGCCCCATGGCCACCCATTTAGGAAACTGGGGCCACTCTCTCCGCAAAACACGTCCCACCCTAAGGCGAGGTTCACACTTATGCCGTTTGCGTTTGATGCATTTCTGCAGTGCTTGTTTTGCGCTTTTGATGCGTTTTGCTTTCTCTCCAACTTGTTGCTGGGCAGATTAAAAACGCATCACTACATGCTTTTCTGAAGTCGATAGAACCAAAAACGCAACATTTTGCCTTTAAAAAAGTCCCCGATCCTTTCCAAAAAACCGCACCGGGGTGAAAACGCAGGGTACAGGGGGACCAGATATGGTGAATGCAGGGTACGGGGGGACCGGATATAGTAAATGCAGGGTACGGGGGGACCGGATATGGTGAATGCAGGGTCTGGGGGATCGGATATAGTGAATGCAGGGTACTGGGGAGACTGCGGATATAGTGAATGCAAGGGTACGGGGAGACCAGATATAGTGAATGCAGGGGGGGGAAAACCCGGGATATGGGAAGACCAGATATAGTGAATGCAGGGTCCGGGGAGAGACCAGATATAGTGAATGCAGGGTCCAGGGGAGAACTGATATAGTGAATGCGGGGTCCGGGGGGAGAGCGGATATGGTGAAATGCAGGGTCTGGGGGAGATCGGATATAGTGAATGCAGGGTCCGGGGAGACCGGATATAGTGAATGCAGGGTCCGGGGAGATCGGATATAGTGAATGCGGGGTCCCGGGAGAGCGGATATAGTGAATGCAGGGTCCGGGGAGAGCTGATATAGTGAATGCATGGGGGTCCGGGAGAGCGGGATATAGTGATGCAGTCTGGGATACGGATATAGTGGAATGCAGGGTCCGGGGAGAGCGGATATAGTGAATGCAGGTCCGGGGAGATCGGATATAGTGAATGCAGGGTCCGGGGAGAGTTGGATATAGTGAATGCAGGGTCCGGGGAGAGCAGATATAGTGAATGCAGGGTCCGGGGAGACCAGATTTAGTGAAGCAGGGTCCGGGGGAGACCAGATATAGTGGATGCGGGGTCCGGGGAGATCGGATATAGTGGATGCGGGGTCCGGGAGATCGGAGTATTTATGCATGCAGGGTCCGGGGAGAGCAGATATAGGGAATGGCAGGGTCCGGGGAGAGCAGATTTAGTGAATGCAGGTCTAAGGAGACCAGATATAGTGAATGCAGGGTCCGGGGAGAGCGGATATAGTGAATGCAGGGTCCGGGGAGACCGGATATATAGTGAATGCGGGGGTCCGGGGGAGAGCGGATATATAGTGAATGCAGGGTCCGGGGAGAGAGGATATAGTGAATGCGGGGTCCCGGGGAGAGAGCGATATATAGTGAATGCAGGGTCCGGGGGAGACCAGATATAGTGAAGTTTTAGTTTGGTAACAGCTGGAGGGCCTCCAGTTTTGACACCCGTGCTTTATTGGAATGCAAGGGATCGGCGATGTTCATTTGTTCATCTGAAGTCCATCTAAAATCTCCCACACGATCTGTACGGGAATTGTAAATTCATTTTTTTATTTTCAGCACCACCTTCCTGTGGATTCCAGTAATTCCATGTTTAATTTTTCACTGGACCACTACTTGTTTTACAGTGTGATTTTGGTAGTCTTCCTGTGTCCTCCCCTTCTGTTAGTGCCAGTTTAGTCTAGTTAGCTCCCCCTTTCTTCTATGTTCCCTCAGGCTGGGTTCACACTCATGCAGTGCGGTACATCGCATGTGATTTGCACAGGAACCGCACATGCGATTTGCGTGTGGTGCGCGCTCAAAACACACGGCACCAAAAACATGCAGGACCCTTTTTTGGGTCCGCACTAGAAATCAGATCACCACGGGTATTCACACCTATGCCATCCGATTTCTGCGCATTTTTGACGCATTTTGGCCGCGTTTTTGATAAGTTCCAGATCATCTTTTTTTTCCTCTCTCTCTTTTTCTTCAATCTGATATAGCGAGGACGACAGTGTTCCAGTGCATATTTGGTTACTTCCACGTGCGTTTTTGTTGCATTTTACCTAGAGCGTTCCAGTACAGTTCACTTTGATCGGTAAAAATGCAGCCTGTTCTACTTTTGCAACCGGAACTGATGTGAATCGATGGCATTGACAACCATATCACCTACTTTCTGTGCGTTTCGGGATGCAGAAAAAAAAAGCAACTGAAAACGCATGCAGGTGAACTGACCCTTAGGTGCCGGATCACACTACAGAAACGCAGTGCAGATATGTTCCGGATGCGTTTTTGCATATGCTTTTTGGGGTATCGTTTTTGGATGCATTTTGGCCGCGGTTTTGATTGGTTCCAGATCATTATTCCCCCTCTCTTTTTTCTTCAATCTAAATTAGGGACATGTGTGTTCAGTGCGTTTTTTGTTTTGCAATTTTTTTATGCGTTTTTACTGCATTCCAGTACAGTTTCTGTGCAATTAAAACCCCCCCTTAGGGCCGGATCACATTACGGAAACGCTTAAAAATATTACCCCCCAGTCCAGATATGATGCTTTTTGCATATGCAATTTTGTATCGTTTTTTGATGCGTTTTGGCCGCATTTTTAATGTTGTGTTACAGTCCATTTTCCCCCCCTCCTCTTCAATCTAAATAGGACGTATGTGTTCCAGTGCATTCTTGTGGCTTCCAGTGCGTTTTGTTTGTGTTTTTGTTGCATTTTGACGCGTTCCAGCGCAGTTCTGTGCCGGAAAAATGCAGCCTGATCTACTTTTTTTTTGTTGTATCCTGGAACAAAATAAATAATCGGAACTGCAAGCGCTGATGTGAACTATGACATTGACAACCATATCACCGACTTTCTGTGCGTTTCGGATGCAGAAAAAACAGCAACTGAAAACGCATGGAGTGTGAACTGGCCCTTAGGGCCGGATCACACTACAGAAACGCAGTGCAGATATGTTCCGGATGCGTTTTTGCATACGCGGTTTTGTATAGTTTTTGATGCGTTTTGGCCGCGGTTTTTGATTCGTTCCAGATCATTATTCCCGCTATCTTTTTCTTCAATCTAATAGGGACATGGTGTGTTTTCGGTGCATTTTGTTGCGTTTTTGATGCATTCTACCGCAGTTTCTGAGCAGGAAAAATGCGGCCTGTTCTACTTTTTTTTAATGCATCCGGAAACGCACTGGAACTGCGAGCGCTGATGTGAACTATGACACCAACCACCATATCACCTACTTTTCTGTGCGTTTTGAATGCAGAAAAAAAAAGCAACTTAAAATGTATGGAGTGTGAACCGGTCCCTTAGGGCCGGATCACACTACAGAAACGCAGTGCAGATATGATGCTTTTTGCATACGTGTTTTTGTATAGTTTTTTTATGTGTTTTTAATGCGTTACAGTTCAGTATTCCCCCTCTTCAATCTAAATAGAAACGTGTGTTCCAGTGCATTTTTGGTGTCTTCCAGTGCATTTTGTTGCGTTTTTGTTGCATTTTACCGCGTTCCAGTACAGTTTCTGCACAGGATCACACTACAGCAACGCAGTGCAGATATGTATGTTCCCAGATGAGTTTTTGGCTCGTTGACGCGTTTTGGCCGTGTCTTTGATGCGTTTCCAGATCATTATTCCCTCTCTCTTTTTCTTCGAATCTAAATAGGGACATGTGTGTTCTGCTGCATTTTAGTGCATGTTTTATGCGTTTTACTGCATTCCAGTACAGTTCTGTGCAGTAAAACCCCCCTTAGGGCCGGATCACACTACAGAAATGCAGTCCAGATATGATGCTTTTTGGCACATGCAATTTTGTATCGTTTTTGATGCGTTTTGACCGCATTTTTAATGTTTTTACAGTCCATTATTTCCCCTCCTCTTAAATCTAAATAGGGACGTGTGTCTCAGTGCATTTTTGGTGGCTTCCAGTGCGTTTTGTTGCATTTTACTGCATTCTAGTGCAGTTCTGTGCAGAAAAAATGTGGCCTTTTCTACTTTTTTTTTATGCATCCGGAACTGCAAGCACTGATGTGAACTATGACACTGACCACCATATCACCTACTTTCTGTGCGTTTCAGGTGCAGAAAAAAAAAGCTCATTGCGTTTTTTGATGCGTTTTGGCCGGG